TCACTGTTGTACTCGCCACCGTTGTCGGATCTGAGACATTTCACTTCCAGACCTGTCTCTTTCTCCACGAGTGCTCTCCATCTCCTAAAAGTATCAAAGGCTTCGGATTTTTTTTTCAAAAAGTACATTCATACCTTTCTTGTGCAGTCATCGACGAACGTCATGTAGTACATCAATCCTCCAAGAGATGTCACCGCTGCTGGCCCCCATTAGTCAGTTTGCACGAGCTCTAGTTTTTCTGTCTTTGGAGCTCTCCCGGTGGTCGTGAAGCTCACTCGCTTCTGCTTTCCAAGCACACATTGCTCGCAGAGACCCACGTCCACTGACTCCAACTCGGGTAGAAGTCCTCTCGACTTTAGTACCTTCATTCATTTCTCGCTCATGTGGACCAAGAGACTGTGCCACAAGTGCGATTGTGAGACAGCTCCTGCCAGGAGAATGTTTGAGCTGGATCCACTCACCGTGTAAAGCGTTCCTGAATTCAGCCCTTTTGCCAAAGTCATAGCTCCTCGGCTGACCTTCCACTTTCCGTCTCCAAACATTGTGTGGAAGCCGTCATTGTCCAGCTGTCCAACTGAGATGAGATTCCTCTTCAGTTCTGGAATGTGCCTCACATCCCGTAGGGTCCAGCATGATCCATTTGCTGACTTGATCTGCACATCTCCCTTCCCTACAATTTTTAGGGATTTGTTGTCTGCAAGATATACCACGCCAAAATCACCTGCGGTGTATGGCTCCATGATGTCTCTGCTACTGCAAGAGTGAAATGAGGCCCCTGAGTCCACGATCCAGTCATCGAGCGAGCTTTTCACACTCAACAAGAGTGCATCTGTCGTGTCCTCCGTCGCGGCATTGGCTGTCTGACCCTCTTTGTCCTTCTTCGGTGCCCGACATTCGCTTTTCATATGCCCAGGCTTCTCGCAGTTCCAACACACCATTTCTTTCTTGTCTTTATTCCTCTCCTTGAATTTTGACCTCCCACGGATTTTCCCTTGTGTTTCGGGTCTCCCTATGGACTCTGTATGTAGGGCTGAGCCAGACGACCCACCGCCTGATTTCTGCGGGTCTCCTCGTTCAACATCATATCTCTTATGTTGTCGAACTTCATCTTCTCCTTGCCAGAAGAAGTACTCACCGAAGTAACAACCACGTCCCAACTGTCCGGCAATGATGAGAGCAAGATTAGGGCTTTTACCTCATCATCAAACGAAATATCCACCGATGCCAACTGCGTCGTGAGTTGGTTGAAATCATTGAGATGATCGACCACTGACTTTCGCTCCTCCATTTGCAATTTGGACAGCTTTTTCATCAGCATCACCTTGTTTATTGCTGATGGTTTTTCATACATGTCGGCGAGTGTCTGCAAGACCTCCGTCGTGCTTTTTGCTCCCTTCACAAGGTAGGCGACGTTCCGAGAAAGCGAAAGAATTATGGCGCTCATCGCCTTCCGGTCGAGCACCTTCCATTCATCATCGCTCATCTTCTCGGGCTTTTCCCCAAGAGGTGCGTAGAGGTCCTTCCCGTACAGGTAAGCCTCCATTTTCATTCGCCAGAATTCAAAGTCGGAACCATTGAACCGTTCGACTGGAATCTTTCCCTCCATCTTATCTCCAACCTCCTGGCTCTGATACCAGTTGTTGGGAAATAAGGTCGGATAAGATGGAATAATAATAACACACCAATGTGACATCGATAAAAGACACGAAAGTTTATTAACCCAATTCGGATTAAATCCTACGTCTGGGGGCGAACCAAGCCAGGAGAATGAACTAGAAGAAGAGGATAAACCGAATGTTACAACTCACACAAGCCCGTATGAATACACTCTCTCTACTCTTTTTCTCTCTCTATCTCTCTTGTTATGTTTTCTTTTGTTGTGATTTTTACATCATGATTCTAGCTCTATTTATAGAAAAAGAATGCATCAAAATTTCTACAAATGTATGCTAACATTTTTCTCCCACGATGTGCTACTCCATTTTTTATTTTTCTTTGGTAGATAGAAAGAAAATGGGCTGTTGCCCATTGACTTAACACGTTTCACTCCAGATCTAGGAGGAAACCTATCATATGTGTACTGAAATAGATAAATAAATATTTTTGTAATTATTATATGTTGATAGAGTAATGCTACAAGTACATAATAGTGTACATAATGGTGTACATAACACCCACATTGAGTGGGATCCACTAAAAATAAAAAAATCAAATGGACCCACTCAATGTGAGTGTTATGTAAACCATTATGTACACTATTATGTACTTGTAGCATTACTCATGTTGATAATAATTGAATATGCAAAATTTTCATATTCTTTAATTTCAAACATGAACTGGAAAATGATAAAATCATATATTAGACTATTATATATTATGACAACAGAAGAAAGATAATAGTTAATGTTAATATTCAAAAACTATTTATATTCTAATTTATTATGAGAGATGATGTGGTTCCGTTACGGGACCATTTCGTTGGAGTTTGTAACAGACGAATGGTTCTGTAACGACACTGTAGCATTTTCCATTTATTATTTCACTACTTTAATTTTATACATCTATCTATATATTAAAAGAATAACCTTTTAAGGATTCCCGCCAATTTTTTCCGCCAATATATGTATATATAATCACCCGCCATTTTCAGTAACAGTGTCCTAAAAATTAGCAATTGTCTTTCTTTTTTTTTTTAGATATGGTAGTCAACGACTAATTTATTGGCTAAATAGGGTAATCTTTCCTGTTTTTTTGGTAGATATGGTAGTCAACGATTGATTTATTGGGTAGATAGGGTAACAAATCGACTGATTTATTAGGTAGAATTTGTTATTCTCTTTTTGGTATCAAAATAAATATTTGTAATTATTTTTGATATCAAAAATAATAATTTTCAAATTGTTTGTAATCAAATATTTGTAGATGGAACACCATAAATTCGGTATGATTTTATTAAATTAGACTTATAATATTTTAGATACTTAAAACAAATTGTTTAGACATTTTTTTTACATATACGTCTATATATTTATACATATACACATACACATTATCGATGCTAAATTTTTTTACATACATAGACATGTTTTATTTACAAATTAGTCTAGAATTTTTTTTACACAATGTTAAATTCAAATGTTTTTGGATATGTTTTTCTTCATTATTTAGAAAAGTTGTAGGTGATTTCATATCTTTCAAAAATCATATAGAAAAATTTGAATACTATTACATATACTAATATAATATTTTAGGTGTTCTTAATATTAAACGTACAAATTTTATATTCTCTTATACAAAATAATGTAAATTTTTTTTATACAAAATAATTTTACATTGTTTGACCCCGAATCTTTAATTTATAATTATTAAGTATTGTTTATTCTCCTCTTTAATTTATAATTATTATTTTTTTTTCTTTTTTTAAATATGATCAATAGAATTTCCACTTCTGCTATTGAGTGACTCAAATTCAAAATTTATTTATAATATTTTTAATTTAATATTATTCCCGTGCATGGCATGGGTATACACTAGTTTATCATTATTGGTGTCGCTAGTCTACACATACAATTCCCCGCGCACCCTTATTTTGGCGCCAACAGTCATCCCATTAAACCCTTAGTTTGACCCTCTCCCGTTTGCCACCACCGCCAGGATTAATCCGACGCTTAATCAATTCGTTCTCCGCGCTGAGGTTACGCCGATGGGCAGCTTATCTGTGTTTCGCCTTCCTCAATTCTCAGAGGTCAGGAAAAAATTCCGTTATATATTTAACAGTTATTATATTTTATGGAGTATATGAAGGCTTTCGTAATTTCTGGCAGGATGAGGCGTGGCTACCGTCATGGCTTCAGCACTGCAATTTCGATATACTGAATGTGGAGTCCATCACGACGGATCAGATTACATTTGAGCAGCGCGTTGAGGTTGGCCGCCATCATGTTCGCTTATTTTTTATGTTGCACTTGATTAAACAGTGGACAATTTTGGAATGAGAATGTCTATCATTTTGCCATACGAGCAGCCATGAATTCTAGTTTTAAGCTTGATTAGCCAGCTATTCATCGAGGGAAGGGTTAGCTGAATTGAAGCAAACATATGATTATGCATGAGTAGCTTACTTGGGTGTTATGGACTTGAATATTGTCTGTGATAATTATCTATTTAATTAAACCAAATGCTATATTAAACCAATACGTAATGGTTCAATTTCCCGTGAAGTGCGTTTCATTCGCATCGTTTTCTGCTGGTAAAATTATCTTTACAAACCTATAATTTTATCATTGCATTTTAATAGGAAGTGAAATTTCACTGGACTGGTGTCGGCAGCGGAGAATCTTTGAGGGAAAAAGGTGGATTTAACATTGGTCAATTATTTATATCTGGAACTGATGGCTCACCCTTTAGTCTTTCTCAATCTGCTAATGATGTAAGTTTCTCCGCCTGAAAGACAAATCTAGTCTGCCACTAATTTCTGTGGTCGTTTACTAGTACTAGTTCATGTTCAAAATCTCAAGACTGATGGATGTGTGTTTTAAATGTCCAATGATTCTCAGATTATCTAGCGGTGAACTTCCGTGGTTGTTGGAATGTGTAGTCGTTTTTCTCGGTCCTTTGTTTTCCAGTTATGCCATAACCACAGAAACAATAATCACTTGACCTGTATCAGAATCTTACAGATAAATTAGATGCTCTGGTAAATTCATTAATTCAATTTTATTTATTTTTTTACTTGGCTTTTCTCCCACTTAAGGTTGATGGTATCTACAGTTCTTTATGGTTTATGAATGTTATAACCAGTGTAAACTTTTATGCACATGTGTCATATTTCTTTTCTTACACTTGCATGCGTAAGGTTTTAAATGAAAAGTGAGTCAAAAACTTCATTTTATGGTAGAAAGCTGTGGCAGTAGGTTCATAAGAACAGTCCAAATTCATGCTCTCATATAATATATATATATATATATATATATATGTGTGTGTGTGTGTGTGTGTGTGTGTGTGTGTGTGTGAGTGTGTACGCGCGCAGTCTTCAGCTGTGAGTATCAGTCACTGAAATCATAGTCTCTCTGAAATCATCAATCTGTAACCACATATATTTCTTGCAAGATGACACATGTGTCTGTATTTCTGTTAAATGGTTATTGTGCTTTATAGTCTTTGATTTACTGATGGAATGTAGTATTCTCCACGATAATCTCAGCCAGTCTGTGTTTTCTCTTTGAAAGGGGGTTCAGTTTCATCTTTGTCTCTCACCAGATGGCGACTCGGAGAACATAGATCAAATTACTGATGTGTTCCCAACCAAGTCCAAGTGTACTAGTATTGTTCAACCTTGTGAGGATTCTGGAATTTTAGGTCAGGGATGTGGTAAGTTAAATTTCAGTCCTGTATCAACAAATTGTTCTCGACCTGTTGAATTGGAAGGACATCTGGATAAGTCTGAGATGTTGAAGCATGATGAAAATACGAGTTGCTCTGAGGGTGCTGCTGATGTTGTAGAATTATGTATAGCAGCATCAGAGGCACTGGTAATTAATGAAGTTACTGAGAGTGAGTCATTGGCAAAATCTTGTTCTGCTTCAGCTATACTTGAAGCTTCTCTTCAGATAAAACAAGCACGTTTAGAAGTTTGGAGCGACACCCACACCTTTAATGGCTCAAGTTATATAGCGTGTGATATCAGTGATTTGTCTGACTTGGATGATATAGCTATGGAAAGTGCATATGAGGATGCAGGAATTCATTTGAATGAGTTGCATGTAAAAGAGCTAAGCATGTTACAAGTTAAGGATACTTTCGACTCTGAAAATGATGAAAACTTTAAACATAGGAATACCACTGATCCTGCCACTAATTATATTAATTCTCCCAATGGTGGATATACGAATATAGTGGAAGGTGTTATAGACAGTGACATATTAAAAGAAGACTTGGCCACAGAACGTCTTGAAAGTGACAAGCAAAACGGGGTAATTTGTGTTTCGGTGTGTGGTTTGGGCAGTGATGTCGGATTCCAGGATAATAGTATGAGGACTATTGGTGCTCACATGGAACTTCATATTTCAGATTCAACAGAGGTATAAAATATCTTGAATATATTTCAAGCTTCTTTATTACTCTCATTGTGTTTTATCTTTTACAGAAAGAAGAAGAAAAAGGGATGACATAAAATAGATAAATAAACAATGAACTAGGTGATTTATTAGAGACCTTGCCAGTCTAAAGTTTTGTGTAGTCTTGGACAAGGAAAGGGATATAGGCCTGATCTCCTAAAACAAAGAATATAGGGACGCTTCCCGGTTTCTTGAGTCGAAGGCTAGCATGCATTTTCTACATACGTTGATCTCTTTCCCTTAACTTTTCTCCCAAACTGCATTTGATCTGTCTATCAAATTTTGTATTTTAGTATCTGTCAGCTGCAAAGTTATCTGATATGTGTGGAGCCATTGACCTGTCTGATTAGACTCCAATCTCATCAGTTATACATACGCTGCTGGTTTTCTCTTTACATTCTGGGGGCACTGAGGAGTAGCTTTTAGTTGCCCAAATATTGGTGCTACTGGTGATTATTGAAGTGTTGCCTTATTATATTATAATCCCTAAAGCATGATACTTTTCATTTTTCTCTATCTGTTTGTTTATTTAGTTGCCAAAAACAAAATTTTCTGTCTACCAGCAACAGCTTACATGCACTTCAAAAACAAAATCTTCTGTTGAGGCCGGACCCCAACCTGTATATAAAAGGCCTGTGCCCTCATTGAGTTTGAAAGTACTTACATTCATGTCGTTGGCTGATTTAGCTTTGACTGGTAAAATCATGTAGTGTGTCTTATAATAGGATCCTAGTAGTGTTTTATTAGCTTTTGGTTAGATATAGAAATCTTTCTTTTGTTTACGATTTTACGATGGCTTAAAATACTAAAGGAGAGCTGTCACCTTCTTTCCTTTTTTAATACTTATCAATGTTTCTGTTCAACCTGCAGAGAGCCAATGTGACTACACCAGGAAGCAATTTACATGAAATAAATGTGAGCACTTCCCCAAATATGAGTGGCCAAGGTAGGTGTTAGAACTTAATTGTATGTCGAATACCTCTTTTATTTATGAGATTACAAGTTACTCATTTTCTGTTGACAGAAAAGGATAATGCTCCCATAAATATAATTCAAGGTCAAGAACAGTTCAAAAGTCGGTGGTTTGGTGGTTGGATAGTCAATGTAAGCACTACTAAAGTTGCATTTTTTTCGATTGTCCTATCACACTAATAACTTTTTAAATTCTTGATAATATTGTGACTCTTGACTCTTGAGAGCTAAATAATTTCTGCTCAGAAATTTAGTTTTAATAAGACAATAGCACAACTTAACATCACTTTCTATCTTCGGCCAGTCTAGTCAAACTATGGGCATTTCACTTTTCACAAAATAGAGCGAGAATGCGTGCTCATGATGTCAATGAAGCTTTTAACTGAATGCACATTCAATTAGGGCCATTAAGGTGTATCGCTGTCTGAAGGTCTAACTTTCATTTGTAACTTTCATTTGGTACCTTGAGATGTGTTTTACCATCAAGCTCAGTAGAGTTAATACTCGTTTAAAACCTTAAAACAATTTCTGGAATTCTTTTGATTAATAACTTGTCATGCAAGTGTTTTTTAACCTCGATTCTTTGTTTGCTTAGTTTTCTATGATATATTGCATAGGTATTGGAAAGAATGTAGATTTTGGACTGCTATTCCCAATGTTTGAATTACACCCTGGCTTTGAACTCTAACTAATTTTTTTTACTCCAAAAAAGAAAGATAAATAACGGATCTGATGTAATAGTTGAAAGACATCCTGCTATGCTATGGTTATATTCTCTATTTATTCCTATTTCTAGGAATTTTGTTTCTCAATCATCCTATGATATTTACCCACCCGCATATAAAATATCACCTCAGCTATTTATGCTTTTGTCTCATTATTTTCCCTCGCACTCTGCAGAATGATGTGAAGTATACCTCCATGAAACATAGCATTCCCCAACCTTTTTGTGGCGAAACAAGTCTTTTGTCAGAGTCTGCAGATGTTGCTCCAGACGAGAATTCCTGTGCGCAGAATCATGATAAAGAGGCCATGATAGCTTCTCAATTAAGTACATCTATTGAAAATTTCCACACCACAGTTATAGATGGCATGCTACTTTCTCAAGATATAAGATCTTCAAATACATCTTTGGCGGACCCTCTTTGCTCTGTTGTACCGTGTAGTATTTCTGAGAATATATGTTCTTCACCAGCAGTAGAACAAGAGAACAGAGTCCACCCTTGTCACTTCAATGTAACAATTGAATGCAACAAAAACAATGTTTTCCAGATGTCTCCCTTAGACAACGATGTAGCTCAAAGAGAAAAGGTTGATATGCCAATAGCTAATATCGAGGAGTCAAGAAACGGAGTTTCTAGACGATTCACTTCCCTTAGAGATTATAGCAAATTGCCGCCTAACGGTACAAAGTTTCACCTAAAACATGGTCCCTGGAAAAGTTCATCACTCATGCAGAGCAATATCGACTTGACTTCCCAGGAAAACCACGAAGAAACTGTGAAGGTTTGGGCTGAAGTTTCAAACAAAGAAAATACCCATACACTCCCTAATTTGGTGAAAAATAGCTCTCATAGCTGCTTCCTGGATGAAGACAATGCAATTCGAACATCCCAAGCAAAAACCAATTCTCAATGCCCGGACAGTGAGAAGAAGCAGCAGACGCTATTACAATGCAGAACACGAAGTGCTCAAAAGCTAAGAACATCAAAACGTGTTCATTTTTGTGAGAGAGAAACAACCATTCCAGAGCAAAAGAGACTCAAGAAGGTGCAAAGTGCACCAAGAACTTGTAAGGGAAATCATGAATCTCTACATGACATGAGTTTTTGAATTATATGATGATTATCTAATGATGACTTGGTGTGACCTTTGCAGGTTCTTCTACTAGAGCTTTTAAAAAGTCTACTAGATTCAGTGCACGTCTCAAATCTGGAGTTCAGCAGATGGATAGATATCTGAAGAAACATGTGGATAAGGAGAAAAGAAGATTGATACTTCAAAACATGGACTTCTTTCTCACTGGATTTTCTCATAAAAAAGAAATGGAAATTGAGGGTCTCATTCGACAATATGGTGGCGTAGTTCTTTCTCAAATTCCACCAATAAACTTGAATGGAAAGAGAAGTTCTATAATTAAGTCTCAGGCTCTTCCCATTATTTTATGTTTGAAGAAGGTAGTGGCAGGAAAAAAAAAGATTGTTTACTTATTATCAATTTTATACTAAAAACATATTCTTGTTTAACAGAAATACATGATCTTTATTTAGAGTTATTTGGGCTTCCCCTAAAAAAATTGGAAGTAAGAGGAAAATATAAAGAACTATGTAGAGTAGGTGATATCTTCAATTTTTATTAAGAGAACGTTTTATCATATTCTGAATCAAAGTTATTTACAAGTACTAACAAAGAGATATCATAAGCAACGAAAAGCTTTTAGCCTCCAGAAAAATCTGCTTACAGCTTCCTATTAAGATGGTACATCACATTTTCTATGTACTTTAACATATGATCCAATGACAGTTGAGTTTGCTGAGATAACTCAAAATTTTGTCTTTATGGTTTGTTAGTTGGTTCGGAAAGTGTAGTATGAGATATTATACAGGAGTTATCAGAGACAACTCGAACGGGAGACTCTGTTTAACTTATTTTTTTTTTTAATATTCCACATTTGGTACGAGATGAACTTGGATGCCGGTCATATTCCATAATTAGATATAGGTTGAATGATATTTTCCTTCGAATTTCTAGCTATTAAATTTAATAGTGTTTAAGGAACTTACTGGATCTTATTGCCTTCATACATTTGTGAATGCTGTGACATTCAGCATCAAAATTCCTTTATGCCGTGATCTTATCTGTTTCATTCACTTATATTGGTGGACAGTTATTTGCTATTATTTTTGTTGTGCACCGAAATTTCTTATTCTCGTTCTGCTGTTTCTCAGACAAAATCTTTCAAGTTCTTGTATGGATGTGCAGTAAATGCCTATGTGCTCAAAGTAAATTGGCTTCATGATTCGCTTGCAGCTGGAAGGGTCCTACCCCCGAAAAGGTATGCTCGTCATATTCCTACTTCTACATCGTGTTTGTCAGTGGTCTTGACATGGGCAGAACCAATAATGTTGTTCCAGTTCTAGAAAGTTGTTTTCTGCCTTGACAAATTATTAAGTATTATATGATAATTAGCGGAATCTGATCTATAACAACGAAAAAATAAATAAACTCAAGAGCGAAGGGAAAAATGACAGTTTTGACTAAATGATACAGTTGGGTGGTTTGTTTAGGTGCCTGGTCTTTTATATGCTTAACATGCACGATAATATGTTAATCACAAAGGGGCCACTTTTAACATTAGATTCAGGACAGACATTTTGTTATACTTCTAAAAGTCCTGAATCATTCTTGATTCTGGCTCCAATATGCTGTCTCTCATTCTACGAGACACAAGATTCGACCAGCCTTTTAATACAAGGTTTCTGGACACTTTTTCATATTGCTTCTTGTTTGATTACAGATTATGTTTTGATTTTGTCTTACGTTTCTTGCTTCTTGCGCCTACTGAATTTTTCAGATATATGATCCTTCCCAGAAATATTACCAGATGGCAGGACCAAGTTTATACAGCTGTGAACTATGATGATTGTTCCCTCGTTTTTAACAATTTGGGTGTCATGCTTCATGGAAAAACAAAATACTTCGCAAGTATTGCAACTATTATCAAGGTATACAGTTATCTAGGAAACGATATGCATGTAAAGTAAGCGTGGAGGCATCCCATTTTATTTACACACAGACCCATGTTTCCTCAAGACCTTACAATCTCATCCTAAGTTTGATCTTTGGTCAGCATGGTGGAGGACAGATTTTCAATACCCTGCACTTATTGGTCCAGGCACTTGAAGCTGGTGTAATTTCAACGGGGATCATTGTTTCTCGCGAGGAGAGTTTTTCTTCCCGTCATTTGAAGCAATGTGCATTGGAGCAGAATATACCGATAGTGGTCAGTTATTTCTGTCACTGTAACTTGTGTACTTCCATTCTCTAAAGTTTCAATTGTATTTGACCAATTTGAAACTCACAAGTACTAATAGTTGATTTGGTCAAAAGTACATATTAGACATAAAACATAGTATTATTGTTCACAATATTTCTGTTTTTTTTCTCCAATTATATCAAACTCATGACCGTTGAATCTGATGCAGTCAGTTCAGTGGATTATGAAGAGCTTATATGCTGGACAGCTTGTTCCCTTAGAGGAAAAAAATAATTCCCGACATCTGCCAGCTGTTAAGCCTCAAAGACTCCAAGACTTGATGGAGTTAAGTCAAGAAATATGATCATGAGCTTTTGTAAGTACTTAACACGGAAGTGTCGGTGAAATGGTGAAGCAGTTTATCGTATTCACTTGGTAAGTTATATATTACTTACTAGTGAAACCAGAAATGATGATCATCTAGATGCTATGGTTAAAACTGCAATGATCTTAATCAGCATCTTGAATTTCTGGATGAAGCTACCGAAGGTGGATATTTGTTTCTCGAAATTTCTGGCTGCACTTTCCAATTTAATTTAAGAAGATGAGGTTCGATGTGAACTTCAGGGTAAGAGAAATTTCTAAAGATCAACAAGATTGCCCGTGAGACAAGTCTTCCGAAAACGAAATGTGACAGCAAAGGTACGTGTAAAAGTCGAAGAAAGACATTTATAATCCGGAGAAGTATATCTTCCTGGTCCATATAATTCGAAGTTTTGTTATGTTTGACTTGTCAGAGTATGGATCAGATTTTATATGTATTTGTGCTTCTGTTGTCAATTGTGTAGCTCCTCTTGTATTCAGTAAATCATACCCACCAGTGTAATCGGTCTTTTCACAAGCACTTTCCGTATAGTCGTTTCCCATGTACGATTTCGTGCTTTTTATAAATAAAAGTTTCCGTATAGTCGTTTCCCATGTACGATTTCATGCTTATTATAAATAAAAGTTCCTTCCAGCTTTTATGTGACGGCCAGTTTTTCCTGCGTAATATTAACATCTCCGCCATCAAAGGACAGAGAAGGTTAACCCAATCTCCAAAGTCCTACCTACCTTTGTTTTCCTGAACAAATGCTTGTTCTTGTGCATTAATGGGGCCATTCCCCTACTTATTCACTTTTCATACCCTTCTGCAGGAATTTATAACATTACACACTTAGTACATTCTTTAATTTTAAGAAAATCAACATCATGATAGATTAAATATCATAACGATTTTTAAGAATACATAGATTATTGAACTTGAGACTGAGCATTAGATGCAGAATACCTTCTCGTCAATTTTTGAATCCAATCTCCATGAATGCCACATAATTCTTGAACATGACTTCAATCATGAATACATCCTCAATCACAAATCACCAATAACAGTCACAAGTGGGATTGGTTTTATAGCCATCCTCAATTAAATCTCCTTATGAGCCTTCTTTTCTTTCGTGATGGGGAGACTAGAAAATTATTTGCAATTTTGTATACAAAGAAGATATGCGCGATATGCACGTGATATAATTTCGATTTGTTACTTAAAATTATATTGATTATTGAATTACACTTAATAGTGTAAGTTCTGAAGATTGACAGTAAATCGACAAACCTTTTTGAGTTCTCAAGTTTCAGACAAACGCAACTATATTTAAGGGAAGTTAATTTGATCGCGTGAATATATTTTTAATTTGAGTTGTGTATTGATAAGGTGTGTTTATTATGGCAGGATTCTCCTTCCATATATGCAACATGATGATCGTAGAAGTTGGACAAGGAAATGGAGACCTACTATACTTGGACGAAACTTGGAGGCAAAGATAGAGGAAGACTTACCATACAGAGAGAGAAGATAAAAGGAGGATTGAGCGGAGAGGGAAGACGACCTTTTGATCTTCAATTATTTTTATAGATATCAAGAGCGGGTGCTTGCTGTTCATCTTCGTGATTTTCGTTTTACATTTTTTGACTTAAGTGAAGTGATTGAAAATTGTGTAGTTTTATTGTGAGAGATAATACAAAGTGAACGGAGGTTCATTCTGGTAGAGTTTGAGAGATTCAAACGAGAAAAGCCACAAGGGATATGTGGTCGGATAAGTATTAGTGCAAATCATTATTCAAGTAGAGTGTAGGGAGAGTCTATACTGTAAACCTTTGAAGAATGTTTGTGATATTGGCATTAATGAAAGAGATCCGAAGGGAGAGTGGGACGCTCTCCCGAAGGTTCAATTTTCAGTGATACAACTTCCGCAATCATTTGTATCTTCTTTTAATTCTGTTTGAGTACATTGTATGCAACTCTGGATACTTCGTGCACAAGTATCAAACTTCAATTGGCACCAGAGTGGGTTTTCGTTTGGATTACGAAAGATCTAAGGACTTGTATTACTGAGCAATCATGAATCAAGAAAGTGGATTGATGTCTAGACCTCCGCAATTGGATGGTCCCAACTACTCGTATTGGAAATCTATGATGACGATCTTCCTAAGATCGCTTGAAGGAGGTGTGTGGGAAAGTGTTGAAAAAGGATGGGAACATCCTGTCATGGCAGAAGCACCAGATCAAGGAAAAGGAGTTATGACGGCTACAGTACTTAAAAAAGATAACTTGACAGATTCTGAGAAGCTTCAAGAAGAAGCCAACTACCGTGCCTTGTATGCGATCATGATGGCAATCAGACAAGACCCAAGATGATAGTTCAATGCAAGACTGCAAAAGATACTTGGCAGATCCTACAACGTCAATTTGAATGTTCAACGACTGTCAAGGTGTTGAGACTTCAACGGGTGACTCTTGAATTTGATGAAATCAGAATGCGGGATGAAGAAACAATTGACATATAGTACGCCAGATTCTGTGATCTGGTGAATCAAAGTGCAATGCTTGGAGAAGAATTCTTCGAGAATCTTCAACTTAGGAAGATTTAAATGACGAGGGCACAAACGAACCTCCATCGCACACTAGTAATATGGCGATCCATTCCTCTGTTAAAGAGTTTCATGTATCTCACCACATTGCATGTTGCAACCAAGTTTGAAGCAAGCATGAGAGAGGCTGAAATATCTGAAGATGAAGCAGACCAAAACTTGTGTGTTCATCTTGTACACTTGCTAGCCATAGAGAAATGTGCACAGGCATCTGAAGCCATGAAGAAGCTTCAGAGTGAAGTATATAGACTGACAAGAGCAAATAAACTGCTGAGCGAACGGGCCTCTTCTTCATTCACTATTGAGAAAGAGTGTGAATTAGATACTGGAAAGGCTCGAACTTCCATTCTTGAAGGTAGTGTCCAACTTGCTAAACAAGATGAGTTGGAAAAGACTCAGACCATTGAATGCTTGAGGACTGAACTATTCTCAACTCAGAAACTCCTTGCTGATCGGAACAAAGAAATATTAAAGTTCAAGAGTGAAGTTAGCCGACTCATGAACGAGCACTCAAGCATGCAGATCAAACTGAGTGCGAGCTCGGCAGAGCTGGAACATACTACTGAGGTCGTTCAAAAACTGAACAGAGGGAAAACGGATTAAAATGAACTCCTTTCCATGGTAAGACAATATGATGATCTCACAGGACTGGGATTTACTGGCAAAGTTGACAAATATGTTCATTCTTCTGAAGGTACAGTCAAGAACAATCATCCATGGCTTGGATTCTCTGACAAGTCTGGTAATTAAGGTACAAGTCTTCATGGGAAAACCTTCTCGCAACTTGTTTGACAGGTTTGTAAAAAGCACTATAAGTAAATCTTCTCTACCTAAACCTGCTGTGAAGGTTCATGTACCTGTTCAGGAATCTGTAAGTAGATCCTCTCGTAATTTTGTTCCCATCTGTCATTACTGTGGAATAACATGTCACATCAGACCCAAATACTATAAGATGCAGCATGACTTTTGTTTTGGTAAAGTCTATAACTGGACTCGCTCCGGTGTACCAGTGAATGTTCGTGCTGTGAATTCTCCGAAAAGTTTCTTTAAAAATCGGCAAGTACGGGTTGCAAAAAATTATTTTAGATGTCTTGCGTCAATATTGTCCCTTAAAACCTCACGTGAAGGGAAGTGGTATCTTGATAGTGGGTGTTCAAGGCATATGACTGGTGAACCAGCATACTTGTTGAATATCGAAACTGGTTCAAAAGGGGAAGTCACATTTGGTGATGGTGTGAGCAATAAATTAATTGGAACATGTTGCTTAAACATGGGTGGTTTACCTAAATTAGATGATGTGTTACTCGTAGATGACTTAAAAGCAAATCTCTTGAGTGTGAGGCAACTGTGTGACCAAGGTCTTGATGTCAGTTTCTCGTGTGATAAGTGTTATGTGAAGAAAAGTGACGGTACATGTGTGCTTACAGGTTCCCGTTCAACTGAAAATTGCTATCTTGTTGACTTTAATGAAAAATGCCTTCAAGCAAATGTTAGTGAAACTGAAACCTGTCATCAACGCTTGGGTCATATTGGATACTCTCACTTGGTTAAATTGTCTAATGCAGGTGTGGTCCGTGGTGTTCCGAAAATCTCTATGAAGGAACATCCGATCTGCGGACCATGTCAACTGGGTAAGGAAACTCGAGCACCTCATAAAACACTGAACCATATTGCTACAAGGCAAATTCTGGATCTACTTCACATGGATTTGATGGGTCCAATACAGGTTGAAAGCTATCAAGGTAAAAAGTATATTTTTGTGTGTAGATGATTTCTCACGATATACGTGGGTTGATTTCTTGCGTGAGAAATCTGACACCTTCTCTGCTTTTAAGTCACTTTGTCTGAAACTTCAAAACGAAAAAAGGGTTTTCCATAATCAATATTCGAAGTGATCATGGGCGTGAGTTTGAAAATTTTGTGTTTGCGAATTTTTGTCACTCTCTGGGTATTCTTCATGAGTTTTCTGCCCCTAAGACTCCACATCAGAATGGAGTTGTTGAGAGGAAGAACTGCACTCTTCACGAGATGGCCAGGGTTATGTTGAACTCCAAAAAATTTCTCATAGATGGTGGGCAGAGGCAATTAACGGCCTGCTATCTTGTCAATAGGGTGTACCTTCGTCGAGGTATGGGTTTGACATCATATGAACTCTGGAAAGGTAAAAGCCCTAAACCTTAGTCATCTGCATGTTTTTGGATGTAAATGCTATATTTATAATGATCGTGAACAACTTGAGAAATTTGATGCTAAATGTGTTATAGGGTTCTTTCTTGGATATTCTAACAACAGTCGAGCATACCGTGTTTACAACACAAGTACCTCCACTATGATAGAATCCATGAATGTGACCTTTGATGAAAAATCCTCTCATGTTGGTTCATTAGTGTCTCT